CATATTTAATGAAAGCCACCACCACCAATCTTGAATCATTTTGCAGCTAGAATAGAATATTTAAGTAGTTGTTTGCTTTCATTTTTCCTGCTGCTTTGATAAAACGTCCTGACAAGAAGCAATTTAACAAAGGGTTATTTTGGTTCTCAGTTCCGTGGGATAGTCCATCATGGAATGATGGGGAGAGAATGGGTAGCAGGAGGTTCAGATAGCTGGTTTCGTCACAACCACAGTGCAGAAACAGAGCATCCTTGTGCTTAGCATACTATCTCCTCTTTGTATAATCCAAGATCCCAACCAAGGGGATGGTGCCACCTATAGTGGGCTAGCCTTCCCACCTCAGCTATCCTCATCACAGGGAGGCCTTCAGGCTCATCTCCCAGTTGATTCTAAATCTCATTGAGTTGACATTTGAGATTAACCATCACACTGAGTATTCCAGCTTGTTTAGCAGTCACAGTATAGCTTGTCAGAGGAAGGAGGGAGTCCTTCTGTGCCATCTGTTAAGGTTGGTTACAGGACAAGCATTAGCTTTCTCTCAAGCTTTTTGAGATCTGCCAGCCTGATCTTTCTCTGCTGTTTTTACATCTTCTCTGGGTTGCAGTGTTCACTGTCGTGGTGGGACACCACCATATACCAGATGAGAGGCACCTACGGTAAGATTCTTACCATAGCCCCAGGAAGCAGTTCAGTCCCATGACATTCCTCGGAACTTTCTACACAGGCTTCAGAAACCAAATTGGAGATAGAATCTTGGCATTTACAATGTTTTTGAAGCAGTTTCTGGAAAGAATTCCTCAATCAATTGAGGACATCTAACTCTTTCTGAAATTACCTGCTAACCATCTTTCCACAAGAGCACCAGCTTTATTTCTTCCTCCCTGGATTCGCAACATGCTTTGCCTATATTTCCAGAAGGCATTTAATTAACAATAGGCTCCAGCCCAACCCCTCGTCCTTTTTAGGTCATAGTGTAAGAATAAGTGTGAGAATGGACCAGCGTGGTCCTTGTAATTTACAGAAGCTTTCTGTTGAATAACTCAGAAGAGGGAGATGTTCGTGGTATTAGTAATTCTGAGCTTTTGACCTTTCTAGAATGGGCCTGGGAAGGAGTGGAGGAAAAGATGTCGTTTTCCTGTACAGGATGAATGAGTGAGCCTCTTTTACATGGAAGTTTCAAGTTCACAGGTTAAAAATAAGCACAGTCAAGTTGGTACCCTTCATTAGCCCTTCATGCTGTAGGCAGTATTGAAGGGAGGAGATGTAAATAATTTCAAATTCAATAAGTTGTTCTTATAGCAGCATACATTTTAAAGGGTTTATATAATGCTTAGAGAAATGTACATTTCATCATCCCTTGCCTTCAGCTGTTTTTAGCTTTCCTCTCCTGTACTGAAGCTTCTTGTACCTTCTTCCCTCCTCGTGGATATTACAGTTGACCTCAGAAGTTACAACACTTCCCCTTTGTCCAGCAGCTCAGTGTGGTGGGTTGTGTCTGCACATTTGAGAGCAGCATCTCCTACCCGGCCAGCATCTAACAATAACACACTCACTTCATGGCATGTTTAATCATGGCGTTGACTTCCATCCATAGCCCATTCTTTATAATACCTGAATGCATTAGTATTGCTGTCTATACAATTTAATTTGAGTCATGTTTATAATCCTTTTGGAGAAAATCCTGAGTGTTCCCTATATTAAAATAAAGCTCCTTTGGATTTCATCTGGCTGACAGTTTTCTCTAGAGGTGAATCAGCCAACAGTTACTATGCTAGACACCTTTTCTTTTGATAAGAGTCAAGCCAGAGGGGAAGCAGTAGTGAGGATAAAGAAACCACTTGATTTGGGATGTTCAATGTGAGTCTCCTTTATGTCCCCCTATCTAGGTATCTCTATTTGAGATAGCTGGGTATGATTTTCCTAGTGCCTGGTAGCTGCTGATGGGCCAGTATAGATATTAAGTATATGGCTGTAGTAAGTCACAGTAGAAATCAGAGAGACAAAGCACATTAAGAGTAACGTCTGGAGCTCCCAACTTCATATTCTGCCTCAGAAAAGAGCCCACATACTGGATAGCAGTCTCCTGAGGGTTCTGCTAGTTGCCAAGCACAGGGGTCCAGTAGGTAATCATTGTTGCCCACAGGTTGTTCAAGGCCTGGGAAACACGTCTAGATTTTCTCCCATGTGGTCAATGTAGCAACTCCTCTGTTGTGGATAGGTGTCTTCACGGACTCTTTCATAAAGGGCTTCCTGACCTCACTTTATATAGCTTTTCCCAGTCTGGAGCCATCATCCGGAATGAGAGTCCAGGTGTCGCAATCACTCCGGTTTGCTGCAGCCACAGTGCAATAAAGATACGCCACAGCGATAACAGAGTCAGGACTCTGTGCACTGTGAAGGTGACTGCCAGCCAGACTCTGGTCGCTGAGCTGATGGTAGGTCTCCCACAATGCCAAGTAGAGACATCTGGGGTAGGAGACTGGAGTAATGTGGCCTCCTCTCTTACAGACAAGCTAAAAGGTTCCTTCGGGCCCTTGCTTTGAGAAAGAAGTCATTATATTATGAAACACCATCTCTCTTTCTCTTTCGCCCTTGTGACATTCCTTTTGAAGACCCCTTTCCTGTCCCAGGCTTCTTCATCAATAGTTTCACTTCTGTAAAAACCGTAACAAAATAAAGCTATTTCTGGAAGGAGAGTTAACTGTTGGTGTCTAGATACGTGATGAGACTGGGGGCTTGTTTGAGGGGTGGAGAGAGTTTATCACATGGCATCATGTTGTCCTGCTTGAAATGCTTGAAAGGCATGTTTCCCATCTATGCAGTTATGCATCGTTGCCTCTCCGATCCCACGTGGCCCCAGGGAAAACACCCAAGAGAGTAGCTTATCTGTAGGTTAGAATTGCTTAAGATATTTGATGTTTAGGAGGGGTTTTTGTTGTTGGTGGTGGTGTCTTGTTGAATGTTTTGTGTCAAGATCATTGTGGTTGATACAGAGATCCAGTCTAGGTATGTGGGTTTGCCCTGGATTGAGAACTTCACCAGTACAGTTGTACAATGTATGTTTGAACAGATATTCTAGCTGCCTCTTTGCAGTTAGTAGATGCCTTAGGGAAGGTATGATGATCCCATATGTGTATGTGTATGTATATGTGTATATGTGTATGTGTATATGTATATATGTATATGTGTATGTTTATATGTATATGTGTATGTGTGTATGTGTATGTGTATATGTGTATGTGTATATGTATATGTGTATGTGTATATGTGTATGTGTATATGTGTATGTGTATGTGTGTATGTGTATATGTGTATATGTATGTGTGTATGTGTGTATGTGTATATGTGTATGTGTATAAGTATATATGTATTTGTATATTTGAAATTTCCTATCCTAATTTCTAGACTCTGAGCAGAAGAAACACTTGACTTTGGTTACAGGCTCAAGGGGGCTCCTCTCCTTCCCCTTACCTATTTGATGAAATATATAGCATTAAAAGTCCTGATTTTTTTTTTAAAAAAGAGTCTCCTGTAGTCCAGGCTGGCCTTTCCTCACTATATTGTCCAGGCTAGCTCTTCTTAACTTCTAGTGTCTACCTTTCAAGTTCTGGGATCACAACTGTGCACAGCTGGCCAAGGCCGCCTTGCATCACCTTAATCTAGGATTTTCTTTTACCCCTGACCTTTATTTTCATAGCATCAATTTACTGATCTTTCCTCCAAGCTTATTTTCGCACCTTGTATTTCTCAGTTTCGTTTATCCTTTGGACAGGAATCATTGGAAGTCAGTGGGGGAGTCAAGCTGGTTTTTGGTAGTAGGGTGGAGCTGCAAATTGTACGTCTGCTCCTGCTGAACTCAGTAGTTGTCTTCAAGTGACTGTTAAGACTGTCCTCCTCAGAGCATGGCTTGCTTCGACTGATCTAACAAATACTGCTTGTTTGAAGTCGTATTCATGGATCTATTGTAGCCCTATTCGTCTCCTTGTCAATTGACAGGCGTCTTTATTATCAAATAGTTTTAATAGACGCCTGGAATACATCAAAGAGAAAGGAAATAACTGTTTGCAATAGGAAGGAAGAAGGGGCAAGGGATGCTTGTTCATATAGATTCAGAAGGAAGGACATTTGAAAATTGGATATTTGCAGTTGTGGTTTTGGTATAGTGAGATATGTATTTAAATCACCTGGGACGATTGCTCTGTTGGAGAAGTGCTTGCTAAGCACGTACGGATCTCTGGGGTCAGTCCCTGTACTGAATAGCCAGATGTGGTCACACCTGTCTGTAATCTGAGCACTCAGAAGGTGCTCGAGAGGATCAGGAGTCCAAGGTCATCCTTGGTTATACAGTGAGTTGGAGCCCAGCCTGGGCTACAAGAGACCATTTCTCAGAAAAGAAGAGAAAAATCTAGATCTTAATCTTTGGACCTTGAAATCATCACTTTCCCACTTATTATTACTGGTATAGCTCACTCTCGCTGGATTCAGGTATAGAATCCTTGTCTGATTACAAGCTGGGGATGTCGTCACAGAAGAAAAACCATGGTTTGAATGCATTGGCGACATACCTTATGTGACTTGGAAAAATAATTTGGGGGAGTTTCTTTGGAGCACGGCTCTTTGCATGTCTTGTTTTCATGTGCTCACCTTAGCCCTCCTCGTTCTGGGAACAAGCCACTAATTCGGACATCTGTTGGTCTGAATCCAAACACTCTGTTTTCAACCTTTCCAGTGCTCTTTGTTTACTTGTGTTGTTTGAAAATCAAAATAGAAAGAACTTAAAAGGTGCCAGTGGGCTGCTTGTATTCTAGGATAACCATGTGCGTGGCTCAACACAGTTGTAGATGCCAGGACCATGTTGTGGCATCAGAAAGTTAGACATGCCCGGAAGGGGATCTCTGGGTAGACTGATGTCCCCAATGCCCCTCTTGACTTTTGCTAAGACTTTCACACCTCCACTGCAACATTTCATTTTCTTTTCTCCCTCCCCTTTTTCCTAACAGCAGGAACGAATTTCATACACACCTCCAGAGAGTCCAGTGGCAAGCTACGGATCCTCGACTCCGCTTCATGTCCCAGTGCCTCGAGCGCTCAGGATGGAGGAAGACTCAATCCACCTGCCAGCACACCTGCGTGAGTGTTTACCTCCGAGGAGATGGAGGCTGGGGAGGGGAAGGACAGACAGACAGAGTGCTGGTCCATGAGGATCCCAGGGAGAGGCTCTGGGTCTGAGCCGGTGTTCATGGGACTTGGCCAGCTGACCTGGGGTCTTTGACCCTCACCCCATAATGGCTTTGGAAAGTTTGTGACTCTTGTCCCTTATTTCTCGATATTTTCATTTGTATCTGATAAGGACGTGGCAGGGGGAAACTCTAGAAATACCTCACATGTGACAGAGTCACTGTAATATAGTAGGCCAGGTGAGTTTTATTTTCCTTGAAGTTTTTAATCTCTTAAGTTCATACTTAGCCTGGCTTCATATTTTCTTTTATCTACTTGTGGGTTTAGACTCATTGCTTAAAGAAGTTTTTCATTTGTGTGTGGGAAGGGGGGCAGGTTGTGTTTGGGTGCTGAGGTATGGAGATTGGAGGGTATCGTGTGGGAGTTGGCTCTCTCCTTCCACCACAGGTTCTGAGGAGGCTTGAACTCAGACATAGGCCTGCCTGGCAAGCCCAGTTACCTGCCAGGGTTAGTCTCCAAAGCATTGACTCCTGCTAAGTCCTTTTTCTCAGCTCCTCCTCTAATGGTCCCCAGCACAGGGGATAGAGTTTGACTGGACCATCCAGAGGCAAGTAATCCCCTGAACACTGGTACCCAAGCAAATACCAGTTCCTCTGGCATGAGTGTTGTCTGGAGGCCACGTGTCTAGGTACTAGAGGGCACTGGGGCTGCCTTAGACCTTTGACAAATGATTCCAAGCGACTCAGATGTTATGCTCACTGTCCCTTGGCGTGACTGTGGTCCCCAGGTTGTTCCTGCTTTCTTTCTACATCCTTCCTCAAGAGATGCTTGCAGAAAGTAGAGAACAAGGGGACAGGATGCAGGCTCAGTAAATAAGGTGATTTGTGTCAGGGGTTGGGGTGGGTCTCTAGTAGTACTGTGGGTCATCCCCTCTGCTTACAGTTAGGATGGCCCTTCTGCGGCATTGAGAGCGCTGGAACCCTTCCATCCTCTGCCAGAGTTTACAGAGTGTCTCCACACGTGGCCCAGAGACGCCTGCTTCACTTCTCCAGCAGGGAGATAAAAGGCATAGCTTCACTGCAGCCTTCCACCCTCTGCAGCGGTCTTGAGAAGAAGAGGTTGCACTGCTGTCCTTGGAAAGTGGAACTGTTGCAGTTCCAGTAGAGCAGACAGAACTGGAAATGACACACCAGGCAGTAGCAATTTTACAGCCAGAACGACATTGTCCTGTGACCAATATATTTACTTCCAAATGTTCACCTTGGGGTAGAACATACTCGTGCCGTGCAGACAGCACCCCTGAACTAAATCTTCTCACTTACTCGGTTTGCCAATCAGTACTGTATCCTCTTCTCTGCCAGGCCTCCCACAGATGCTCCAGGTACAGAAAGCAGAGCTTCTATATGCTTCTATAGAGCATAAAGATTAGTTACCCCGGATAGGGTGAAGCTTCCTTCATACCAATTTGATTCCTATGTTTTGCAATACTCCTCAAGGGACGCCAAGTCCTGATAAGCCTCTGGGTACCTTTCAACATATGTGAACTCTTTGCTGGAGAAATTATTATAGGAAGACAAACAAGCTAGCAAGCCAACCAGCAGACTTAACTGTCAATTGAATCTTCATTCTGAGTCCCGTGAACTATCTAGCTGTGAGTTGGTTATTTGTTTAGTCTTTCTTTCTCTTTCTTTCTTTCTTTCTTTCTTTCTTTCTTTCTTTCTTTCTTTCTTTCTTTCTTTCTTTCATGTCTGCTTTTGGAAAAGAGACTACTTAACAGTCCTTCTGATTTTAAACATGACAAGGCTTATCTCCACCATCATTATCCTGAACTGGAACTGTACTTTAGTTTCTCCTTGAGAAGGCACCGTCCTCATTGAACCAGCTCTGTACTACTTACCAGATGTATTAGTCTTTCTATATATGGAGAAAGACATTCATTCCATATACATATGCATATACGTATACATGTACATATACATCCACATACATGCGATTTATATGTATATTTTGCATATATGTAAACTTATATATGTTTAAATGTGTATACACACACACACACACACACACACACACACACACACAAAGGGGATTTATTGGAATCAGTTATAGGCTGCAGTCCAACTAATCCAGTAATGGCTAGCTGTGAACACAAAGTCCAAGAGTCTAGAAGTTGCTCGGCCCCACAGGCTGGATGTCTCCACTGCTCTGAGCATGCTGGAATCTCTAAAGAGGTAGGCTTTAGTGAAGGAATGGATTTGGTGGCAAGAAGAGGGCAAGCAGGCAGAGAGCCAACGCTTCCTTCTTCTATGTCTTTATATAGACTTCCAGCAGGAGGTGTGGTCCATATTAAAGGTATGTTTTTTCCACCTCAAGATTTAGATTAAAGGTCTGGCTCTTACAGCTTCAAGAAAGACCCAGATCAAAGGTGTGTCTTCCTACCTCAAAGATCTAGACTAGAAGTGGATTTACCCACTTCAAACCAAGCAGAAAATCTCACAAGTGTGCCTTCCATGTCTGGATTGTAGTTTATTCCAGATACAGCCAAGTTGACAACCACAAATAGTCCCTGTACCAGCAAATCACCAGCTACAGCACGCCATCATAATAGCTAGCATTAAGCTGGGCATAGTGGCACATGCCTTTAATCCCAGCTCTGAGAGGGGAAAGCAGGGGAATCTCTATTACTTCAAGGTTAACCTAGTCTAGAAAGTGAGTTTCCAAATCATAGAGAGACCCTGTCTCAAAAAAAAAAAAAAGAAAATTAGTAATACCTAGTTTTTGTTGTGGCTCCATATGAAGCCTTTATATAATTTTTTATTTCAGTCTCACATTAATATCGGTAGATACATTTTTCTCTTTATCTCCACATTATAGCATAAACTCTAACTCCATGCTATATATAAAGGGTTGGAGATTTTTATTTTATTTTTTTGGCAGTGCTAAGAATCAAACCCATAATCCTTCATATGCTAAGCAAGCGCTATACCACAGAACTTTATCCCTAGCCCAAGGCTTCTAGCATTTAAGTGATTTTACAATATTGGTCACAGAACTAGTAAGATGACAGGGTCAAGATTCAAATTCAGTCTCATCTAACCTCACAGCTTAGATTCTTTTTTTTTTTTTTTTAAAGATTTATTTTATTTATTTTATGAGTGAATGCACAGTTGCTATCTTCAGACACCCCATAAGGGGGCACTGGATCCCATTACAGATGGTTGTGAGCCACCATGTGGTTGCTGGGAATTGAACTCAGGACCTCTGGAAGAGCAGTCGGTGCTCTTAACCGCTGAGCCATCTCACCAGCCCCACAGCTTAGATTCTTAATCCGCATGCTACTGTGCGGCTGTGTGTTTAATCTACTTACTTTACATGGATGAATTTAGGGTTGCTGCTTGTACTGATGAGGCCCCAGAAGTGGTTTGTGGCTGGAACCTATTTTCTGAACTATTGTTCTATTGCTGAAGAACTCATGTTTCATTCACCCTTAGACAGATGGATGGGTGGATGGATGAGTGGATAGATAGATGGATGGTCACCAAGATAATTTCTCACTGTGGAGTTGTAGCACATTACCGCTGACCTGGGGGATAACCAGTAAAATATGGATTCATGTCAGGGCAGTGATTTTTGCCTGAGTGTCTCAGCTTAAGTGATAAGTCTCCGTAGTAGTCTGTAGGAGCCCTGTTGTGACATGGTCACTTTGAACATCTGGAATGAATCCTCCAGACATAGAGGTTCCCAGGCTCTTGCTGTGTGCCCTCTACCGGGGCTTTCCAGGCAGACTAGCCCAGCTTCCCTCCTCCTTCTCTTAGTCTAGGACTGCCTACTCCTTATTCTGAGGAATTCAGTGGCCGCCAACTCTGTGAGGTTGGGCCATACACTTGAAGACACATCCCAGCTGAGCTTCCAAACCTAAGAGAATAAAATAAATACTCCAGCAAGGGAATTGGGTTACTGCTGTTTTAATCCAGGATTCCAGACAATTCCCAGTAGAATGTGTATGGAAAGTCCGGGGAAGAATCTGGGAGGCGGGACGGCAGCAGGACATTTATGGCATTACAAGGTTGAGCTCATTCTCAGAGGCCTGTTTTAAAAGAAGAACCAGCCTGGTATGGCTCCTGGTAGCTTCTTTTTGTTTTTTTGTTGTTTCTCACTGATCTTCAGCTTTGGCTCCTAGCTCTTAGCTTTCTTTTCTTCTCACATCCCTTAAATGAAAATAAGATTTGGAAATCAGGGGAGAGCTGGAGTCTAATAGCCCACAGTCTTCCCACCGTGTTAAGCAAACAGAAGTCTACTAAAGACCCCGACCTGGCAGATTAGCAGAGAGGCTTTGCTCGACTTGTGTTTGCAGACGTGATAAAGGGGAAGCAATAAATGAAGCAAGTGTTAAGTCATGATTATGAGGTGCGGAAAGGACACGCAGGATGATACAGGCCTTGGTGCAGGAGTCCCTGTCACCCAGCATCATCTGGGTCCTCGGTGCCCAGAACTGCAGATGACGATGTTCAGCAAGTCCTGCTGCTGACCTCCCCATGAACGGGGAGGATGGATACATTTATGGAAGGGATACGAAGGGCATGCTTCTCCCCCTCTTCTCCCTCTTCCCTCTTCTGCCAAGCATGCTAAATCATTTATAAGCCTAAGGGTAGAAGGGCTGAAGTATCATCACAGCTTTCCAGGAAAAACAAAAGTTCTCTTCTTTGTACTAAGCATCAGCCTCTGTGCCCCTGTGAGAACACTTCAAAGACCCCAGGGGTGCGGGGGGTCAGGCTCACTGTGATCCTCACCATTGCATGGAAAAGGGAAGTCTTTTCCCTGTGTTTTGGGGACTAGGGGACACTTACTGGCACTTGCAAGTGAGGCCTCACAAGGTGCTCTTACAGCAGAGGCTGCTTTGTTGGATTTGCATCCCTGTGACCAGATAGATGTCTGATCAAATAGACTTAAAA